ACCACCTTAACAGCTTTTCTTCATTTTCCAATCTCCTGTGTCATTCAAGGACAACTTGAATACAATTTCCTTTCTAATTCTTTTTTAACCTGAAATTATTTTAATATAGTAATATCCCTATGACAATGTAATTATTTGCATGTGTATATTTTACATTAAACTACAGACAGATATTTTAACTCATCTTTATAGTTAAAGCAATCAACAAATGTTTAATGATTTGATTAGAGAGAAAAATTAAATTGCTATATACATCTGGGTGAAAAATGGCACTAATCATGGAAATGATGGATGTGTTAGAATAATGCCACATACATACAAAAGTCCTAGTCTTTAAAATCTATGACTATTTTACCTTGCATGGAAAGGGGGGTCTTTGCAGCATGCATTATATTACAACCTTAAAGACCAAAATGCATTTTGAACTAGGAGGAAAATGTTCAAATGGGGAGAGGAAAAGGAAAGAGATAAAAAATTTTTAAAAAATATGAAAAGAAGGAAAACAAACTTTTATAAATGGGGAGGAGAAGAGGGGAAGGGTCACTCACAGGTACAAATTCTCTATGATGAATGTGATCATTATATATATCTTAAATGCACCAATGAAACCTAATTTTAAAAAGTGTAAATTAGAACCTTGAATTGGGGTGATTTTAGAAATTCAGTGGGCCCAGTGCAACCACAGTGTAACCCTTAAAAGCAGAAGAGAGAGACCTTCCAATGCCCTTGGAGCTGATGATTTTAAGCAGATAGTAAGAAGGTCATCTGGACAGGAAGAGTGGGCTGACATTTAGTCTAGACCTCATTCCCTCTGCAAACACAGAAAATGACTGAGTACTTCTTAAAAGACAGTAAGTATCTAGCCCATTGCACAAATTCAACAAAAATGTACAACATGATATATTAAAGACACCGTATAACTGCAAAAGCCAAGTGGGTATTTTATTTTGTACATCACAAACAAAGTAAGTTGCATTATGACTATTTACACACAATGGAGAACTTTCTATTCAGAGAAACTGTAAATATTTACTATGTTTTCCCATGCAAGGTTTCAATATGAATTGGATAATTTTCAGGAGTTTGCATTTTTTGGAGAAGTATTTATCTAACAATTTTCTTCTATTCCCTTTGTGTACAGCAATGAAAAAATCCACTCTTAGGCTAGTGGTGGGAACACAGCTCTGAAGAAAGCAGTGAACCTGGTAGTGCCAGCATCATCTTCATGGAAGTTTCAAGGGTATCGTGGTTATCCTGACCCCCTACCCGGGGGGAAAGGTCAACATCAATTGAACCACATCTGGAAGAGTGAGCAGCTGTGTGGCAGGTGAAGGAAGTGGGGCAAGGGTCCCACCAGGAATGCAGAGAGTGTTGTAAGGGCAGCATCCAGAATACAAATGGAGAGGTGGGACTGGCCAGATGCCAGTCCATGCACAACCTCAGGTCATCATTAACTGCGAGCTTTTCAAATTGCAGACTCAGATTGTAAGTGGAGGATGGGAAAGAGAATCAGCTCCAATTCCAGAAGCAAGGAAAGGAGCACGAGTGGGTGGGACTTCCTATTTCACACTCAGTCAGGACCCCTGTCCCCGGAAGGGTTTTCAGCAAGGAAGCAACATGACTCAATGTGCACCTTAGAAAGACAAACTGACAGTCATGGCCCCAGGAGAGCCAGGCGGTAAATGAAGTGATGCTATCAGTGATGGAAAAATTCACAGTGGGCAAAGGAGGAAGCCGCATTCTGGACATGTTAAAGAGGAGTCGTCAGAGGGTGTGAGTGATCCAGAACTGGGTTATCGGTGACTTGGGGAACTAACTTAACTCATCCAGGTCACAATGCTTCTAAGCAGTAGGGCAGAGAGCAACTTTCTGACTCTACAGTGCATTCATTTGAGTACTAGGTTATATTATTAATGCTATAGATTATAATTCATATTTAATTATTAAAATTATCATTTTATATATTTTTTAAAAATTCATTCAAACTAGAGATTTCAAATTAAGAAATTAACCAATAGTAATGAATAAGATCTCCAGAGAGAGCGTGAAAAGGATAGTGGACCACACTAATGGAGAAATACCATCAGTGAAATCATAAAGAATGCAAATTAGCTCAGGCTAGAGATGCAGCGCAGTAGCACAGCACTTACCTAGCATGTGTGAGATCCTCGATTCAGGACTTAGCATCACTAGAAAAAAAATGACAATGAAGATGATGGTGAGCTCACAAAAGATCCTTAAGAGGAACAGAGATATGGGAGAAGAAAAGAGACATCCCTCCAGGACGCCTCCCAAACGAACTAAATTTAAAAATCCAAAATTCCAAATCTACAATTACACTGGACTACCCAAGGGTAAGAAGAGTTTCCATTTGTTCACTCGAATCTGTTCTTTTTGAAAAATATTTATGAATCAAATAATTAAATCACCATAGAAAGAGTCCAATACTAATGGAAAATGACAGAGTAAAACAAAGCAAACTGTCATTGCACCTAAAGCCAGTGTAGTCTTTCATTGTTGAAGGTGGAGCTGGCAAAGGCATGCTCCGAAACACATGCCCAAAAACCTTCTCGGCTCTCACCAGATGCGAGTCATTTCTTGCCTAGAGAATGTCTGGACTGTGAAGAACTGCGTGTGTATCTTGCAGCTGTGCATTACATTTCCTTATCCTCTACTGTGTATTAAAGTATTTAAGAAAGAAATATTTTTAGGTTGCTTTAGCTTGCCACAGTGCCTATCACAAAGCACTTACTAAGTGTTTAATAAATACTTGCTGAATTCATTTACTCATTCATTCAATGAATAGATGATAAACTATAACATGAAATTTCTAGACTATTGTCAGTGTATGCATGTATCCAAACACCACATAGAAAAGTAGAGTTACTTTTATGGTTTACAATCCAAAGGTTAAGTATGGTGCCATGTTACCTAATAAGGCATTTGCCCGGCCAGGAAATCCAAAAGAGATACCTCTGCTACAGTGATGTTTTGAGCTGAAATCTGAAGGGAGAATGGTAGGTAAACAAGTAAATTGTGTGGGGAATCAGAGTAGGCAGGTAGGGCAGCATATGCAATGATCCTGGGGCAGAACAGAAATGGACAGAAGGAATGATTTTCTTTCCTGGAGCAGACTGGCTTCTACAGAAAGTCAGGATCTTAATCTTCTTCATTCTCCACTGCTACTTTACTCCTTCACAATATTAAAGCACTGTCCAAAGTTTAGAATTTTTTTCATTAAAATTCTTTTCACTCATAGTTCATGAATTTTAAATTGTATATTTACTCTAAAAAATAATTAGTGGCCCGAGAATCAAAAGATCTATTTATTCTGTGATTTTGGTTATTTATTTAACTTCTCTGGGTCTTGCTTTTTCTTCACTGATACAATTAGAAGGTTAAACCACAAGACTTCTCTAAGAGTTCTATTTTCATGAGGTTCTAGGCATCTAAGGCTTCAAAAGGGGCCTTGAATTATGCTTTGGTTATACGTTTGCACTATCAGTAACAGCTTGACCTTGGGCGAGTCATTTAACCTTTTGATCTGCAGTTTCCAAATATGATGGTGTCTGCTCTGGAGAGACACCCGCAACTCCTCCAAGCAGTTACTAAACTGCAGTACACCATTTTTAACACTTTGTCGAGTTCTACAACCTCTTTTCTAAAGGAAATTGTGAAACAATGCACAATAATCTCAGAAGAATGACCCTGTCCATTTTTAAAGGAGAATAATGATTTATCACCAACAAATGTAGATGTGGGTGTCATTATTGACTGTCTGACACTAACTCCGACATATAAACAGAAAGTCGGTGCCATTCATGGGTGTGGGGGAGAGAACAAGAATCCACCAGGAAGCAAGCCCTCCGTGTGAACTACTGCCGGGTGTGGGCCAGTGCCACTGAGGGGACAGCCCAGACTCCAGCCCCTTCCCACGCACGGGCTGGGAAACAAGAAGGACCAACCCCACCCACCCCACCCCGTAAGCAGCCAACTGGTCTGGAGAGACACAGGCTGCAGTGATAGCTATTCAGGTGAAACGAAAGTTGATGCTCAGGATGTTTGGGGTCTCACTGACCTTGCAGGTCTAGGGCCAGTGGTCTGATCATCTGTTCAGAGGGTAGTGGTATGCAGTATGGCAGTTAGGGGGCATCTCCTTCTGAAGGCAGTAGCTATTGTTAATTCCCTATCATCTTGTACTGAAGTCCTATGCCACTTTCAATGGTTTGTTGAGTTGGGTTTTATTCTGTTTTGTTTGTTTGATTTTGTTATATCCAATGCATGGGCAGCTATTTCAAAGATAGTGAGATATATCATGGTAGCCATTTTGAATTTACTATTGTTTTGAAGTCCTTTTTGCATTCATTGTTTTGTTTTTCTTGGGTTCTATTCTATTCTGTTCTGTTTGACTTTTACTATGTCTGAAGGTATGGGCAGCTATTTTGAAGACAAGAGGCATTATGGTAACCATCGTTGGTTTCGCATTGTTTTGAAGTTGTGTGTCACTTACACTAGTTTGTTTTGATTAGCTTTGTTCTGTTTTACTTTGCTTGGCGTTATTCTCTTTAAATATTTGCTGAAAAGACCACTGAACCTGAGATCCTAGGAGATCTTTTCTCACCAAGTAAGTACTAAAAGAAGAGAAGCATTATCAATGAGGAACTAAAATGTACAGTCTAACAATTTTGTTTGTTTCAGCTTTCATTCTAAAGGGTTTTGTTAGGAAGATTTAAGGAACAAAATGTAGGAAGTGAATCCATCAACATGGCAAAGTGTGGGAAAGTTCATCAGAGAATATAGCCTTTAATTTAGAGCAGTTTTTAGAAAAACTACAAGAGAAAAATAATTTCCCCCTATATTTTACCCAGATAAACCTTGGTCCTAGCAGCATTCATGCACAGACTCTTTTTTTTTTTTCTTTTCTGAATAACTATAACATAAGCAGGTCTATGGAATGTAATTGTTACAGCTGAATTAGAGTTCTGAAGTTACATTCTTCATTCACGTGCAAAATATATCTGATTAAAATGTTGCAAGTTTTTAAATCTATCAGAATTTCTGCATTGCTCTTACTAATGCTTTTGAATGTTGTGATATTATCCCACCACCATTTGTCTTTCACCTAATGGCGTATTACCTACTTAGGGGAAAAAACAAAACAAAACAACAACAAGGTAAAAAAACTTTCCAGTGTGTATATTAAAACTTCATTTAAAAATCTTGTAGAATGCAGGATTGAACTTAAGAGACAGCGGGGCAAATCCGTACAAGGTCCAACACCAGCAAAGCTGATAGCATGCTGAAGGCCAGGTCCTTTCCTGGTGTCCCAGGCATGTTGTCCAGGGTCCAAACCAGTCAGATCTCAATCCCTGCATAAGACATAAGGGGAGAACACACAGCTAGAGGAACCTGTTCTGCAGAGGTAAATGCTGGGCTTACCAGTCTATGACTTCACCAGTCTATGTCTCGAAGGAGACAACGAAGAAGAAAGGAAAATATTAAAGAAAACAAATCTTTCATGGCACTTGCTGAAGACAACAAGGTAAGTCTCACCAAAGAGAAAGTGTGGTGCTCAGTATCAGGAGCACTGCAAGGGGTCTTCCGGTGGAGGATTCCAACCAAAGAACAGAGCAGGGGGCAGGAGTGAAAAATAAGACAAAGCATCAAAGATGAGTGGTCTCTGGCTAAACTGTATTAATACGATTTTTGCTAAAAGCAGGCTGGGGAGGGAAGATACTGATCAAGGATGAGCGATGATTTGGCTCAACTAACTTATCAAGAATCTTCTTGAACTGTGTTCTCCAAGGAGAGAGGAAAGCCGGTTAGTAGAAAGGACACAGAATCCGACCAGAGTCTGTTAAAAGGAAAGGAGGAAGAGAAGAAGGGTGGCAAGGAGGAAGGAGAAATGAGAGAGGAAAAAAGCTAAGGACACAGGAAGTAAGAAGAAGAAGAAAAGGAGGGAAGGAGAGGAAGAAGAGGACAGGGAACAAAAGGAGGAAAGAACTTCTTCAAAGAACCCCTGGGGGCTGGGGATATAGCTCAGCGGCATAAGCACCTGCCTTGCAAGCCTGTGGTCATGAGTTTGATCCCTGGTACCAGTAAAAATACAAAAAAAAAAAAAAAAAAAAGAATCCCTAACAAAAATTATACTTAGCTGGTCCAAGAACCAAAAATTCATGTAAATGTTTCCAGTACCAGGCAATCATACACTTATCTCTCTTGAGGGCTCTCAGTACTTCTTGAATGTGTGCTTTTTGAATTCTGACTAATAAATCTGCATCTGCCTGTTTAAAAATATTATGTACTGACCCTCCCCTCACTGACCGTAGGGAGCAAGTGGGGAAAGAATGTTGAAACCTGGTGAAAAGTGATTCGGTTTGTGGAAATGTAGTGCGGTAGCACCCAAATTGACTAAAATACTCTTATTTGCAGAGAAGAGAACAAAACATTTTAAACATTCTCAATCTCACTTCTCCTATCCTTTAGGCGAGAAATAAAAGCAATTTCCAAGTTTCTCCCTGGGAAGTGTCAGGGGTCACTCTTGTCTCTGGGGAGGGCAGTTTTCCAGGTCAAAAGTGGAAGGGTTGCAGCTCAGAGGGTGTGAGCTTGCCTACTATGCGAGGCCCTGGGGTGAATTCCCAGCCTCACCAGAAACAAACAAACAACCAACCAAACAAACAAAACAACAGTGAAAGTGACAGGCTGGGAATAAATTACATCTCATTTGTTGTGAAAATAAAATGTAACAATGATAGCAATGAAATAAACAGAAAAAAGACAATTTAAAGTTGAAAAAGTCCAATGATCATAAAGTAGCTGGTTTTCAACTTCTTTTAAGTTTCAGTGCTCTTGATTACAACATTATACACCAAAGCATAATTAGGCAATAGTAACTGTCAACTGCTGAATGTGTACTCCTAGCCAGCCAGTGTTTTTTGTTTTTTTTTTAATTTCATTTTTGTTTTGTGATAGGATCTTGTTAAGTCACTAAGTTGCCCTGACTGGGATCAAATTTGTGATCTGTTTGACTCAGCTTACAAGAATGGTGGGATAACAGGTAGGTGCCACCACACCTGGCTATCAGGGAATGTTCTGAGTGTAATACACATATTAAGTCATCTAATCATTGTCGTATAAGACAATGCATGAAAGGCCGTGATGCTGGCAGTCCAAGAATTTACCAAGAGTAGAATAAGTGCAGAAAGAAATTTATTAAAATACACACTGTGAGAGCCACAGGACAGTCAGAAAGAGGACTGTGCTTACAGTTTGGGGGGACACTTTCTATGGTAGCTGTCAGTGTTGGTCTGCTATTGATCATTGACATCTGCATCCTTGGCTGTAAAGGACAACCAAACACAAAATGTCTTCCTGGGAAAGATTACGCTTTGACACACTGAAAAGTTGGTTGTCAAGCTTACACTTGGGACCCCTAGTATGAGAAATGCTCTCACTAGTGATAAGATTATATCCAAAGATGAGAAGTATAAAACAAAAGAGGCCTTTATTCTGAGAACGTGGAGAGAAAAAACCAAAACACCAGGACCACTGGAGTCCAGCTTTCTCTCTGGCAGACACGTGGCGTGGGGGGTATATAAGTAGCCTCGGTTTGAGGTGGAACCTAAGAGGGCATCAGGGATGCACGGGTAGCCCATTGGTCTTTGTTTGCACCATAGGTAAACTCCTAGGGGGCGGGGAAGATGGAGTCACAGGTAAATCCCTAGGGGTGGGGGAGATAGGGGCTCCTTGGTTCACCTCTAAGGCTTCACCGGCTAGGTGGGCAAAAAACCCTTTCAACTAGCCTCCTATCTATAATTTTAAAAAGGTTTTTATTATGCTATTGTCACAGTCATTATTGAAGCCTGTAAAGTAAGGCTATTCATACATTTTCAGAGATGAAGACGTTCAAGCATAAATTCACTAGGCACTGGTGGAATTGAGTTTACGTCCTGCACGACTATGTCCCCAAAGCTGCCCACTTTTGGGTGTGGGGATTCTCATTTGCAGCTCCAATTGTTTTGTCCTCTAGCAAAAGGACAGCATCTTAGAGACCTTGTGGAACTCAATAAACTCCTCGTATACAATCTGAAGCAGTGACTTAGAGGGCGGGGAAAACATGCTAACATTTAGGAGAATGCTGTAATTGAAGTTTTTCATTCAATACAGCATTTTCCAAAGCCAAGAAAAACTAGGAAATATCTTGGCTTGAAGAGGAAGTTTCTAATCTGTGATTCATTGAAGGCCCTGAAATCAAGGCTGAACTCTTACGGTATATGTAAATGTTCCGTACACCTTTGCCGATGAAATTATTTTCCTTTAATGTCCAGGGCAAAGCAGAAAGCTTCCTCAAAAGGCTTGTGTGGCCTGCGTCCAGTTTTCTTCCAGTCCCCTTGAGAAATGATGAAAGCAGTCTGGGAATTCCCAGGCAAGCTTCACTGTGCCTGTAATTTGCTTCCTCAGCCAGACTTCCAGCTCTGGAATATAGCTTTTCCCCCTCTGCTGATCTTCTCTTCCCAGTTTAGAGTAAAAATTGATTCCAGGAGTCCTATTCTTAGGGAAACTGCATGATATAAGAGCAATATAAAACTTTGGTGAAGGTCAGACTCCAAGGTCAAACAGATACAGGTGTGAATCTTGTGACAGTATTTCTTACCTGGAGGACAGTTATTTAACTTGTTCTTGCTTTTGGGAATTATAATATCCACCTAGAAAGATGGTGATGGAAATTAGATTCAGGGAAGCATATGTCTGGAACATCCATGTACTCTGAATTTAGCACTTACTGGATTATTAATCCTTGTGATGGGCTTCTAAAGGAAAACAGAAATCTTAATTCCACAGCATCCTTTCTTATTTCAACATTCCAAAGTGCCAAAGACAGTAATATTAAGTTAAAATTAGGCCTGGGATTTAGCTCAGTGGCATAAGTGGTTGCCTTGCAGGCACGGAGTCGGGAATTCAATCCCTGGTACCAATAAAAAGAAAAACAAGTTAAAATTAGTAAAGGCAGTTTCAGAGTTACACTGATTCAGATGATATAGTTTAATTTCCAGTGAATTAATGTGAAAAAGCACTTACACTTAACGTGTTACTAAGGATAGTTAATATTTTACTTAAACTGCTATCCATATCAGTTCTTGCAATTGTAATTTTTGCATAAATTAATTAACTCCAAACAAAACTTTGGTGAATTCAGAGAATACAAATCTTGTCTTTTTTAGTTAGTTAAATTTTTTTGTACATTTTAGGAATACATGATAAGCACATTCAACACAGGGAATTTGTACCTCTACATGATATAGCTTGTCTTTTTCTCCCCTTCCCCTCCTGTCCCTTCAACTCTTCTTTCCTTCCTTATCTACAAGAACTTGGTTTCCATTTTTCCTTCTTTTCCCTTCCTTTTTCCCGCTACCCCCTCCCAAGTTGCACTTCTCAAGTGAGCATTTTCTTCCTATTTCACAATATCTATTATATATTTTAGTCCTTATTTACACTTTCAGTTTCTCACACCAGATAAACAATGTGGTATTTACACATGTATGTCCTATTTATATCACTTGTGAGTATGGTCTCAAGCTGTATCCATTTACCTAGAATGTATAGAGTTTATCCCTTTTTATAGCTGAGTGGTAGGTACTTCATTGTATTAAAAAAAACACATCTTCTTCACCCACTCATTGGTTGATGGTTATTTGGGTTGTTTCCAAGACTTGGCTATTGCAAACTATGATGCTGTAAATATGAGTGTATATATGTTGCTATAGTATGATGCTTTTAATTCCTTCAGGAGGATAGTAAGAAAAAGAATAGCTAGGTCTAATGCAACCTCTAGTTACAGTTCTTTTAGGAATCTCCACACTGATTTCCACAGTGGTAATACCAGTCTACATTCCCACTAACAGTGCAGAAGGGTTCCTATTACCCCACACTCCCACCTGCATTTGTTATTGGTCAGTTTCTTGATAATAGCCACACCTTTTGAGTGAGATGAAATCTCAGCATTGTTTTAATTTTCATCTTTCAAATGACCAGTAATGTTCAATTGTTTTTTCCTATATTTATTTGTGTTTCTGCTTTTTCATCTGAGAAATGTCTATTCATTTCAAATGCCCATTTTTGGATTGAGTCTTTAAATTTGGAGGGGATCTATTTTTTTTAAAAATTGTTTTAATATTCTAAATAGTGGTCCTTTGAGGAACAGCTGGAAAAAAATAATTTTCCCTACACTGTGGGCTGTCTCTTCACTCTGCTGGTGGTTTCTCTTGCTATGTAAAGACTTTTAATGAGATGAGATCCTTACTGCTGAGTCTTTGTAATAGTTCCCATGTGGTCAGATTTTATTCCTAAAGCCTTTGCCTACACCAATATCTTTAAGAGTTCTACCTAGTCTACCTTCCAGCAGATTTAGTGTTTCTGTTTTAATATTTAGAGCTTTGATCCACTTTTATTTTAGTTTAGTACATGGTGAAAGATATGGCCTAGTTGTAATCTTCTGCATGTGGAAAGCCAGTTTTTCCAGCAGCATTTATTACAGAGGTTATTTTTCTTCCAGTGTTCTTCCAGTGAAGGTTTTCTTCCAGTGAAGGTATTTGGCTCCTTTGTCAAAGGCAGCTAAGTGTGTCTGGAGCTGTTCCTGTAGCTTCTAGTCTGTTCCATTCACTCTCAAGTCTGTTTTTATTTTTGTAAATGGGGTTTTGTTTTGTTTTGGTTTGGTTTTGGGGGAGGTTTTGTTGTGTTGTGTTGGCCAGTATCATGCTGTTTTTATCACTGTAGCTTTGTAGTATAATTTGGAAAAGAGATTGCCTTTCTTTGTTGCCCAAAATTGCTTTTGCTATTCTAGGTCTCTTCTGGTTCCAAATTAATTTTAAGATTTTTTTCTCTAATTCTGTGAGATATGCTGTTGGAATTTTGTTCAAGATTCCACTAAGTCCATATAACAATTTTGGAAATACAATCATTTTCACTATTTTGGTTGTTCCTACCCAACAACAAGGAATATCTTTCCATTTTATGATATCCTTTTGATCTCCTTTTTCAGAGTACTATCTTTTACTTCCTTCATTAGATTGATTCCTAAGTATGTATTTTTTTTCCTCAGAAGCTATAGTGAAAGGTACAGTGAATTGTTTCTCCAATTTCTCTCCCAGTGAGTTTGTTACTTCTGTATAGGAAAGCTATAGATTTTTGAGTGTTGACTTGGTATCCATGCTATGCTACTAAATTTGGTTATTAAATCTGGAAGTCTTTTGGTGGTGTTAGGGGTCTTCTATATAAAGTATCCTGTCATCCCTGGATAATGATAATTTATCTTCTTCATTTCCTATCCTTATTTCCTTTATTTGTTTTCCTTATATAATTGCTCCAGCTAATGTTTCTGGAACTATATTGAATAACAATGGTGACAGTAGACATCCTTAGCTTGTTCCCTAATTTTAGACTGAAAGTTTTCTGATTCTATCTGTTTAGTATGTTATGTTGACTGTTGGTTTTTCATAGATGGCTATTTATTTGATTCCTAAATACATATGAATTATTTATTTGATTAAGACAACAATGATCTATTCCAATTTTCTGCAAGGGTTTTATTTTATCATGAATGGGCACTGAACTTTGTTAGATACTTTTTCTGCATCTATTGAGATGCCATATGATTTTTGTCCTTGCCCCTTTAACATGGTGTATTACATTTATTGCTTTGCACATGTTGTATCCTCCCTGAATTCCTGGGATGAATCCTACTTTGCCATGATATATAATCTTGATTTGTTACTTTCTGTTGGCCAGAATCTTATTGAGGAATTTTTTTTTTGTCTTTTTCATTTTTATCGGTACCAGGGATCGAACTCACGACTGCCTGCTTGCAAGGCAGGCGCTTATGACGCTGAACTAAATCTATTTTGTTTCTATGTCCATGAGGGAAATTAGGATGTAGTTCTCTGTTTTGGGTGGGTCCTTCTCTTGTTTTGGTATTATAGTAATTGTTATAGTTAGGATTTATAGGGGAATAGATTTAATATGGGACACATAATTTATAGGATTATTTTATATTATTCACCCAAAGAGTCAAATGCAAAAGAATGCAAAGGATCTGTCCACACACTAGAGACCCAAAATATCTAGCTAAAGGCCTGGATCCCGTGGCAATGTCCTATACAAGTCCAGCTAAATACTTAGAGCACATAGCAACATGCTCCATGAATCTAGCTTAAGACCTAGAGCCTACATAACATCTCATGCAAGTCTGTATCAAGTGTCTGTATTAGGAAAGCCCAAAGGTCAGTGGTAAGGGCAAGAAAATCTGCCTGCGAGATGAAGGATCTGTGCCAACAGGCTGAGAGATCTGCTCTGGAGCCAGGAAGTAACACTCAAGTTAAGAATCAGAGCTCCCCCAACAATAACTGCAGCCATCTTTCAGTGACAGGACCCAAGCTCAACCTAGATGAGAAGGCTGAGTTTACATCAGGAAAACCATCATGATAGGTTTCTCCAGGAGAAACAACAGCACAACATCTTCCCCTCCAGTTCTGCTCTTTATATTGTTGGCAACAGTTCCCAGATGGACCATCCACACCTAACACCATGCTGGTATTACAAAAATTGACCATTAGTTAATCTACCACAGTAACGCTTGCTTCCAGGAATGAACTTGGGAATATTGCTTCCCTTTCAATTTCATTAAAGAGTTTGGGAAGTAGTGGCATTAGGTCCTCTCTAAATTTCTTGTAGAATTCCCCAGCAAATACATTAGGGCCTAGGTTTTTCTTTGTTGGTAATTTTTTTATTACATCTTCAATTTCATTGCCTTATGATTTATTTAGAATTTTTATACCTTCTTGATTCAGCTTTGATAATCTATATGTATCTAAGAATGTATGCATTTCTTCTGTTTCCCATCTTACGAAAATACTTTTAACACTTCAGAGAGTCCAGATGTTTCACTTCTGAATTGTTCCACCTCGTAGCTCACTGAGTTTGCCTTTCGTGAGGTGGAAATCTGCAGCTGCATCCATTCAAGTGTCTTCTCATTTTCTATTTTATTTTTTTTAGTTTAATTCCTGGCTTGATGCTTATAAATTGCTTATGGGATGCAGCTTCACTGCTAATATTTAGAACCCTCATGAAATGACTACTTCTCAGAAGTTTAGCTGACTTTTGGGTTTTAAGTCTGTTGCAAGATCCTATCTCTTCGACACATTGATGATGATAAATTACCGCATACTTGACCTAAGCCCTGGTTCTTTGGTATTGGCCTATATTATTTTTTTATGACCCACAGGCAATCTCAGTCTTGGTATATCAGGAGGAACAACTGATTAGAACAATTATGTCACATTGGCTAAAGTGGTACAATCAGCAATAACAATAGCATCAAATACAGCTTAGAAAACAGCTAACTGGGGTTTTGGTAGCTATTAACTTGCCACCTTTAATCATATGAGATTGATTTATGTTTATATAACAAAACCTAAAGGAAATCGGAATATCAAATACAATTCATAAGCATGCAATAAAGCAATCTTACCCTCAGGGAAGAAAATTTTAAGAGGATGGGGGAAAATAAAGAAACAGAAGAGGAAGAGCTTAGAGGCAAGGCTGGAGGACAAAGGAAAATCACCCAAACTCTGAGACACGAGTAAAGATGACAGGAGGGAAAGAGAGAAGGAAGAAATAAAGACAAAAACAGAACAACAGCAAAATTAGAAATGTGGCTCACACTCAGATAAAAACAAGAACAGACATTCCAGCTAAAACAAAACAAAACCATCCCCCCTCAAAAAAAGGAAGAAGAAAATAAGAAAAAAATGTCCACTTCAAGGCATGTCTCTGCTGTTACTGGTAGACAACATGGGCAGATAAAACACAGACCCAAGGTGATTAATCCCCGCAAGCCAGCCATAGTTTTATGGCAGGTTGGTAGATAATCCCAGCAAGCCTGCATGTTTAGTTCTGCTGAAGTTCAGGCTAGTTTCTGGTTGTAAGGCAGACTTCTTCAGCTTGCAACAGTCCATGTGCCTCTTTTCTGCTTGAACTCAATTTCCTGCTGTTCTGAACTCAGTTCCCTGACCTTCAGTGGACTTGAACTCAGCAGCCTGACCCTGCAACCAGGAGCCATTAGATAAAGCTGGC